TCCCAAAGTGCTGGAATTTAGGCGTGAGCCACCGAGCCCAGCCCACCATTGGTCATATTGTTACAGGCAGCAATTTTGTATACCGTTCTGCTGGGGCGTGACTCAGGTGTTCTCAGGTGTCAGTCTTTCTGCCACCAAGAGGGGACAAGAAACTGGGGACCGGGGAAAGGAGGGTGCTGTAAGGAAGGACTAGCCTGATTCAGCCAAGTTTTTTTTTTCTTCTTTATTGGCACACCTTTGGGAGCAGCAGAGAGGGACTGGCAAGCTCTAATGTGTCTGCAGGACAGCCTGAGACCCACCTTGCTTCTTTGATTCTTTCTCATTTTTTGGCCAAGAGAATCTTTGGTTGCACTGTGTGTTTCATCAGCTCCCAGGAGGCAGAGAGGCGGGGACTAGGAAAGGTGACTGCTCACTCCAAGCAAATGTGTTCCCCTTGAGACCCGGGGCAGGGGAGACAGGGGTCTGTCTGTGTGTAGACCCAGCGGAGGTCAGCACATGGGCAGGCTGTGGACAGTCTCCGAATTTGTAGCTCACATCTGTGCCCAAGCACCCTCTCCCTCACATCGAATCCATCTTATGACCTTGGAAGAAGTGGGGGTCACGCCACAGGGTCTCAGGCCCTGGAGGAGAGAGATCTGTGGTGGATGGGTGTTGCCTGGCGTCTGCTGTGCCTCCCTGGATGTCGCCAGGGGCGGTCACGCTGAATCCCCCCCTCCCTCCACTGTTTCAGCATTGGCTGTTCACCTTGGTGCTCTGCGTTCCCTCTGGACTTAGGTGTGATCATGGCCCTGGGGTGTGGGCACCTGGGATGAAGTAGTGAAGGCAGCAGGCGCTTGGGTGAGTTGTCCTGTGCCAAGGAGCAGCAGTTTGCCGAGTTAAGATGGGCAGCTTCCTTGGGAAGAGAAGGAAGGAGGAGGGTCTGCGAAGCTCCTGCCGGCCCCCTCGCGTGTCTGCCTGTGTGTGCGGAGCATGTGCGTGTGTGCGGAGCATGTGCGTGTGTGCGTGCAGGCACGCGCGAGTGTGAGTGCGTGTGCACCGAGGCGCTCCTCAGGTTGCGGAGCTGGAAACCGAGAAGTCATAGGAGACGGGGAGGGTGGTGGTGGGGCCTCCCCGATCCTTGGGGAAGCCAGGGCGCAGGCGGCCGAGGTCAGCCCAGAAGCCCTGCTCCTGAACTAGGGTGTGGGCAGAGCGGGGATGGGGCTGCGGACGCCCGGGGGCCCCTCGGAGAGGAGCTGAGAAGGTGGCGGAAGCTGAATGGCGGCGCGAAACTCCCTTCGGCCTCGGCCTCTGGGCTCCTGGGCGGGGCGAGGCAGCCGCTCAAGTGATTGATCTCAGAAGGCCAGGGAGAGTGGGCGGGGCAGAGGAGGGCGTGGTCAGGGGTTGAGGGCCACGCCTCCCCAGAGAAGAGGAGAGGACGAGGTCCGGGAGGCAGGCACCCAGATCACGCTTGGAGTTGACGAGGGAGCTAGCGCCGGCCTGCTCTCTCCCTGCGGGCCTCGGAGATAGCATCCTGCGGGTGCAGAGGCGACTTGGCTGCGAACCGGACTCGGCTCGAGGTTAGTGCCGCCACCGGCTCACCTGCGCTCTCTCTCTGCTCCTCTACAATCAGTCCTTGCCTTTCTTGGGGGTGCCCAAATCCCCTGGTTGTCGCGGTTCCCCGCGTTCGAGTGGGCGGGTGATCAGCAGGCAATGCCTCCGGTAACTGTACGCTCCAGCACCGGACACCCACCCGGCGGGCTAGGGGCCGCCCCGGCCAACTTGCCCTCCATGGAGCAGCTGGCTTGTGGCTGTCTGCCTGGGGTGGGTGGTGTTAGGGAAGGGCTGCGGCTCACTCAGGTGTCATGGCACAGTGCTGGCTGGAGACTGGGAGTCAACTCTCTATCCCCCAGGCACCAGCGGCTTTTAAAAATGCGATCTTTGAATGATGACCCTCACAAACAGGCTTTGTGTGATCAACATGGCAGTTTATTCACCTGGGTGCAGGTGGGCTAATGCAGAAAACAGCAGTGGGATAGGAGTTTGTTTTCTAGGTTGGGACAAATCTTTTGGGCTGGAGGCAGCGGTGTTAAAAGGGTAAGATCCGTTACAGTGATGGGGCTAGGGGCAACAAATGTACATTAGCATAAGTTCAGATACAATGGCGGATGGGGTTAACATGTCAGAGTAGTTAAGATGGCAGGGTGGGGTGAGGAGCAGTCACATTATCATAATAATAGTTAAGATGGCAGGGTGGAGTGAGGGGAAGCTTTTGTTCTGCTGGGAGATCAGGGATCACGGAGAAGGCAGGCAGGACTTCAGACTTTCTGGGTCTGGACTTGGCACTTGGAGGACTGACAGTGGCCACCAGCTCTGCGCCCCTGGCCACAGGCTCCCGGGTGGTGGGGACAGAAGGTATGGAGCTAGTTTTCTGCAAAAAAGAGACTTTCTTGGGCTCAGGGAACAGCAGACTAGCGCTGGCTGTGTGGCCAAGAAGCCTGTTTAGTGGTGATAATAAGAACATTCTATGGTGACCCACAGTAATTTCTGAGACAGAATTGAGATGACCTTCCCAGAAAGAATGGGGAGATTTCTGCTCTGCCTTTGTTCAGAGAAATGCAACATTTGTGCACATATGAGAGCTCATGAGCTTCTAGGAATTTCAGATTCTGCTTTTTCAACAGCTGCCCTTTGCTCAAAAAGGGAAATTATTTTTCAATTTGGGCATCAGAGCTTTGGAAAATAATTTAAAGCCATTTGATGTGGAATTGTTTTAAGGCTAGAACTGGACATGTTTTTCATAGAAGTTCGATTCCAGCTTGTACTCTCAGCAATTTGGAGGCCAAGGTGGATGGATCACCTGATGTTAGGAGTTTGAGAACAGCCTGGTCAACATGGTGAAAGCCATTCTCTACTAAAAATACAAAAAATAGACGGGTGTGGTGGCAGATGCCTCTAATTGTAGGTACTGGAAAGACTGAGGCTGAAGTATCTCTTTTAAACCCGGGAACAAATATTGCAGTGAGCCAAGATTGCAGCACTGCACTCCATCTTGTGTGACAAGAGTGAAACTCCGTCTCAAAAGAGAGAGTAACAGACAGAGAGAGAGAGAGAAAGAGAGAGAGAGAGAAATAAAAAATCCTAATAAACAAAAATTAGAGCAGAAATAGATTTCATAGATATTTAAAAGACAAAAATCAGAGAAACAATTTACATATAAAAGTTATCTAAATGAAATGTCTAAAGAAGAAGAGCAAATTTCCTTTTTTTTTAAAGTTGATCGATTAGCTGCCTTGTTTTCATTTTGAATTTATGCTTACAATAAGTAGGGCCAAATAATTTATTCTGAACTCGTGGACATTGGATTTTTCAGTAGGGTTTGTATTTAGGTATCAGACGTTTGGCTTTGGGATCCTGAAACAGCACTGGGGAAAAGAAAAAGTCAGAATAAGAGAACTTGATATAAAAAGCCTACAGGGCCAGGCACGGTTGCTCACTCAAGTAATACCAGCACTTTGCCTAGGCCGAGGTGGGTGGATCACCTGAAGTCAAGCTTGAGACCAGCCTGGCCATCATGGTGAAACGCCATCTCTAATAAAAATATGAAAATTAGCTGTGAGTGGTGGCACACGACTGTAATACCAGCTACTCAGGAGGCTGAGGCAAGAGAATCTCTTAAACTCGGGAGGCAGGGTGTTGCAATGAGTAGAGATCCTGCCACTGAATTCCAGCTGGGTGACAAGAGTGAAACTTACTCTCAAAAATAAATAAATAAAGAAAGAAAAGAAAAGAAAAAGAAGAAAACTTATGGGTACAGAACAGTACACATTTGGTGAAAAGACTGGTTAGCGCTGCAGTTACTGGTCCAGGCAGGCAGGGTAGCTCTGACTTATAAACTGAGCTTGCAGGTAGATGGGAGGGACGGATGGCCCAGAAGCCTAGGCTAGTGGAGGAAACAGGTCACTGCTGCAGATTCAAGATCTGGGGATGAAAGTAAGCCATGAGTCTTCTGGGCACTTACATAGCTTGTTGGCAGAAAACTCAAGAAGCACAAGTTCTCTCAGCACAAATTGTGAAGGTGAAGCATTGACATAAAAGGAGTGTAGCCACATCATTGTCAGTATGCATGTGTGTGAGTGTTCAGGAATCACTTCATAGCAGCAGGGTGGGGAGGGGAGACGTTCCTCAGGACTTCTTTCCTTTAGTTCTCAGCTCCCTCTGCCGGATGAGACCTGGAATGACAGGACAATTCACAGTGCAACAGCATGTGTGCAGAATAGTCTCCATTCCCCAAAAGACTCACACACAGTCTCCCTCCAGCCAAGGCTGCTGATGTCCCTGATGTCTTTGTTCTCACACCAAATATAAGACGTTTCCTGAACACCAGCCAACTCTTCAACACTGCTGGGTGTTCAACAACTCCTTTCTCACACAATCCAGAGTTACCATGGACCCGACCACTACAGGACTCAGTTCCTCAATACTGTCCCCACTGCACAGGCCAGTGACAAGCACCAGAGGCCCCTCTATACGTCTCAGCCACTGTCCACACATCATGGGCTTTTATAAATCTCTCCCTGAAGTTCAATAATTTGATAAAACTAATTGCAGAACTTGGCCAAACGCTCCACCTGTGTTTACCAGGTAGACATAAAGATCACAATTCAGGAAATGCCAACTGGAAAAAATGCATAGGGCACAGAAAAGTGGGAGAGAAAGACAGGGTGGGCAGTGAGTCCTGATGATTAGCTGCAATTAAGAAAACTCCCGCCGGGCGCGGTGGCTCAAGCCTGTAATCCCAGCACTTTGGGAGGCTGAGGCGGGTGGATCACGAGGTCAAGAGATCGAGACCATCCTGGTCAGCACGGTGAAACCCCGTCTCTACTAAAAATGCAAAAAATTAGCTGGGCATGGTGGCACGTGCCTGTAATCCCAGCTACTCAGGAGGCTGAGGCAGGAGAATTGCCTGAACCCAGGAGGCGGAGGTTGCGGTGAGCCGAGATCTCGCCATTGCACTCCAGCCTGGGTAACAAGAGCGAAACTCCGTCCCAAAAAAAAAAAAGAAAAGAAAACTCCCTAATGCTCTGTGTTCTGTAGGAAGAGCTTGCTGCAAAGAAATACCCTTACAATTATGACCTATTTTAGACATGCCCTCTTTTAGATATCACAGATTCACAGACTCTCCATTCTTATTGTTCTTCATAAATAAATTTGTCTTCAGGGTTCAGAAG